CTGGCCCCTCTATTAGAGGACATTGGTTTGATTCCCAGCACCCACAAATGTAACTCACAACCATCTGTAACTCCAGTTCTAGAGGATCTGATGCTATCTTCTGGACTCCATGGGCACCTTGCACCCTTGGTACACAGACATACATGTAGACAGAACATCCATAAACAAAACAAGATAGAAATTTAAATTTATAAAAAATAAATGAATAAGTACACTTTAAAATGTGGTGTCATCTACAAATTAATAGAGTGAATCACAAGACAATGGACCACTTCAGAATTTAGGGTACTACATTGTTATATCTAGATTTTGTGTGGTTTATTATCTTGTGTAGTTATCTGCTTTTGTTGGCCAGTTTCAACTTACTGTCTTGAATTTATAAATGAAAAACAATTTCAGGGCATTGAATTGAAGCTAACAAAGTTTGAAAAGAGAGCTAAGGTCAGCTATGTGCTAGACGGTATTCTAGGTGACACAAGATACAACAGCTAATAAGACAAAGCATACTTCTCTCAAGTTTCCTAATTTAGTGGTAAAAAGAGTTATTTATAATAAAATTGTAATTTAGTGAAACTAGAACAAATAAAATTAGTGCCTAGTGCTCTGGAAAAGTGCGGTGTTCATGTATGTAAGTTGGCAACAATTAGAGGTTAAAATAAGACATTTAGACAATTTGAAGTCAAGGAAGGACGGAGGATATCACTTCAAGAAGATGCAGCATGTTTAATATTAGAGACATGAAGACAAAAGATTTTGAAGGAAATTACTGTGATTTGTAATGGGTAAAGGTAAAATATGACCACCAACCATGGATAGCTTGTATTTCAGACTTAACACTTGTGGAATGTGTGTCCATAACCAAGTAATTTTACTAAAATAACCCCCAACCTTAAATTAAAGCTATCTATGGGCTTATCAGGATAAATACATAATACTTTTTAGACAATTCTATCTATCATTTTCATATAACTAAACCATATATTTGGACCATATTAGCCTTGAATTGTTCATTATAGAGCTGAAAAGTTAAACGATTTCCATTATGTTTAGGTAATTTTAAGATGTCAATGTGTATTAAAGAAAAACATGATTAAAGGCCGGGAAGCAGTAAGCAATCTGTAAAATAGTATTAAGATACATTTTGAGCTTTGTAGGAAGGATAGATATGTCAGATGCGAGAAATATAGGAAGGTTAATGAGTTTATGGGAAGGATAATGGGTTAATGTCAGATGAGAGAATTATCTCCTGTTTGTTGGAATGTGACATTATGCTATGTCCCTGACTGATGTGTTAATTCCTGATTAGTACCTAAAAATGTTTATTTATTTATTTATTTATTTATTTATTTTTTTGTCTTTTTTTTTCTCTTACCTGTGGGCGGTAGAGGATGCTAACACCCATGTCTATTAACAATTACGTTATTGCCTATTCATAATGATTTTACAGATATCAGTGTTACACACTAACACTAGACTTTTCAGTGCTGAGAACACCTAAGTGGATATGAGTTGCAGTTCCCGGAGGCATTTCATTATTAAGAAATTGAGTCAAGAGACTTTCCCATTGGGTACAAAAACAGTTCATCACACACATACCAGCAGCAGCTACTCTGTCCCAACGTTCTACATTCTTGACTTTTTAATTAAAGAATTTTAGTTCATCCATTAATTAATTTCAATATTTTGTGTGTGTCGGCAGTTGCCCTTCCTGTATGCAGGGATATGGACTGTTTCTAGTGTCTTAGAACGCTGCTAGAGGGTGTGAGATCCCCTGCGACTACAGATACAGACATTGGTCAACCAACATGTGGGTGCTGGTAATCCAAACCTCCTTTGGAAGTGGAACCAATTTTATTAACTACTGAGCCATCTCTCCAGCCCCAGTCCTTGACATTTTATCACAAAATTTGTAAATGTGATTATCACTTACATCTCAGCATAGGCAGTTCTCAAAGTTTGCAATGTTAGGTGGAAACAACATGGGAATAAGAACACACACACATATACATATATCTATATGTACATGCTGGGAGATATATGTGTGCAATATATAGGATACTGTGCAACAGATCAGAAGTAAATGATTTATTAAAATAGCTATGCAGTCATTATGATGACTGAGAGACTTAAAGTAAAATATTCAGTCACAAAGAATGATAAGGTTTTTCTAAAAATCAGGAAAGCATACATAATTATACTTTTACTGGGACCCAATATTATTGGATAGAAGTACTTGGAAATAACATAAAAAAGTGAAATTTGTGTCAATAATGAGCAAGGATTATATGATTTATGACAGCAAATGGGCAAGTGATGTATTTAATGTAGAGGTTTCTGCAAATATTACCAGTACAACCTTGAATTTGAGAGCCACATTGCAAACACTAGGACACAAACAAAAGTATCAAACAAGGCTGACATGGCTTTCTCTGGGGAACATGAGTATGCTAGAGAAACTTGATGCATCTGACTCTGGCAAAGAACTTCAGAGTGTGGAATGAATTGTGGCAGTGGCCAGGGTGTGAGCAGAGACTGCTGACATTGAAACACTCCATAATGAAAACAGAAGATGTTGCCAACTTGGACCCAAGTATCCTCAACATTGCAAAGGATGCATCAGTGAGGATCCCGAGGGCAGGTGGAAAAACTCACAGGCTATTAAATTAGGGAATGCCAGTTATGGTGCAGTGAAGGGAAGAATTTAAGGGTACAGAGGACTAAGAACTGAAGGGAAAGAAAATGACAGGAGATAATTCAAATCACAGAGTTGTGTGGTAAAAGGACAGTGAAATCTGGGGATGGGATGGAGATAAGCAATCATGTAAGATCTGGGGTTCCATTGCCTTTATGTCAAGTTAACTAAGCCTCTTATCAGGAAAATATGAAAGAAGCAGTAAAACAGTAAGAGTTTGTTTCCAAGGCTTAAAACAGAAAAGTAACAGTGGGTAGAGTAAGTTGGGGCTTCAGCAACAGAAGTGGAAGATTAGTTAGGACTAGCGAAGGGCCACAGGGTGTAGGATCTTTAAGAAGTACTTGGGGGCTCTATAAACAGACATCTGTGTGTTCCTTTAGAATTTGACCCTTTGATCCAGATGAGTGCTTTTAGAATGAAGTTTTCTTTGCTCATGTCATAGCTGATGCTAAAATGGCAGAGGTCCATCAAGATCCCAGCACTCAAAAGTAGCTGAAGCATAAATGTATATATGGCTTTGTTAATGTTTTTATTCTGGAAAAATAAAAATCTTAAATATCACTTTTCATAATCTGTATGGGAAGTCTAGATTGTAGACAGATAAAATTGAAGTACACATTTCTTGTTTTTTGTTTTTGTTTTTCTTTACACACAGTATGTACATATATCTCTAAGTAGTCAAGTGTCTACCTGTGGACAACTGACTGGGAAAGGACAAAAAAATATGTATTTCAAGAAAACTATTATCCCCCCCCATTAAATCTACTTAAACTAAAGTAGAAGGTAGGATGTAGTGAAGTGTCTCTGGGCAGCTAGTCACCTCTTGGCACTCTACTTGATTTCCTTTCAGCTCTAAACACATCTTTATTGTCAAGGTGAGTAAAGGGAATGAATAAATCTCCCATATGATTTTAATAATTAAATTGACATAGTACACATGTAAACTCACCATTATAAAGTTTTTAAGACCTTACAGTTAAGATAAATAGGTTCTCTTATCAGTGTATTGCCATATTTATAATAAAAGGAATTTATTCAACAACATTGTAAGAGCTATGGTGCACTTTCCTAGTCACTCCATCTCTGAAGAAAGTGTATGTATAACCAATATGCTTAAGGTAAGTAATCACATAGATAAAATGAAAAGCAATTTACTATATGGGAAATGAAAACAACACAAATCAACAATAAAATGTAATGGAAATGCTGGAATTAACCAGACGTTAAGCATATAAAATTGATTAAGAATTAATTACTTTCCTTTCAATATCTCATCATTACTTTTTTTAGTAGGCAAACTCAACTTAGAAATAAACTAGCAACTACAATTAGAATTTCTGTAGCTTGTAAAAAAAAAAAGAAAGAAAGAAAAACTGTTTTAAACTGTAATAGTCAAGATTTGTGTCATTAAACTTTAATATAACATAGAATTTCAATATATAAATATGTACTTACATTCAAATAACTAATACAAAAACCAAATCACAAAAAAAAAGGTATACCCAAAATTATGGAAAAATTCATATAATATAGTATTCAAATAAACTGCCCAAATAGAAGTTTCTACTACTATTAAAACATTCATAGCATATTAGAATATATACAAAGTCATTTCCTAAAGCAGTTATCAATTTGCTAAATTAGAAAGGAAACCATTGATATATCTATACGCAAATGTCCTATTAGTCTCGATACTTGAAACATGAAAATGCATCAATAATCTTAAAAATGAATATTAAAAGTAAATTTCTCCAATTAGACCCCATGAGTAATTTAACATTTTTTGTCATTTCAGTTTCCACATATTTACTTCATATGGTATAATAAAGATAAAATTCTACCTTCACTTTTGCAAAGTAGTAACAGATAATATGTATGCACAAAGAGTCTCTGACTCATTGCCAGAGCGATGGACTGTGGTGATTTAAAGGTAAACACACTATAGGCAGACACACCTGGGTTCTAGTACACTTACTGGTCAGTTGTGTGACCTGGGGCAAAGAAACAGCTATAATAAACTTGAGATACTTCACTATGGAAGATTAGGATTAAGAAGAGTTCCTGCTTAATGCAGAAATTGAGAGAGAGCATGCGTGAATATGCATCACTTCTGGACACAGAACTCCATAGATGTTGAGGAGTTGTTTAAGAAGTGTCACTATTACAAGCACCCTTCAGGGATTTCAAACACGAACAAACTTTTGAAAATTGATGTTGAATTTCTGAATATCAAAATTTAAGAATTCTGCTACAGTCTTGAACATGTCTAAAATTCTCTTCAATAGATGAGAAGCGACCTAGCACTTACCTTGTCATTGACTACGCTCTTCCCATCCCAAGCCCATCCTCTTTTGGTGAAGTAATTAACCGTTGCAAATTCAATTAGGGCAGAGAACACAAATGCATAACAAACAGCAATAAACCAGTCCATGGCAGTGGCATAAGCCACTTTGGGGAGAGAATTTCGAGCACTGATGCTCAGTGTTGTCATTGTTAGAACAGTTGTTACTCCTGTAAAAGAAGAGACAGGAACCAGAGGCACAATCAGTGGTGGGAAGGGAGAACATCCCAAACTTATCTTCTCTTTCCCTGGAAGCTACTTTTGGTGTCATTCTGTCCACCAAGGAGTGTTAGAAAATGGTGTGGGTTGGATTATACTTAGTATAATAGTATGATAATACTTCTGGAATAGAGATACCAAGGATAACCTGCAAGTGCCTTCATGTTTTCACTTTCTTCTACATTGATTCCATTTTTACTTAATATTTTGTAAATAAGACTGGTAGTAGTGTGGCACTGATGTATATATATTACATTTTACATAACAACAAAAGTTCTCCCTCTTCCCCTGTTCCTGCCCCCTTGATTCCCCTGCAGCCCACCCATCATGCACTCCTCCCAAGAGGTAAGGGCTCTGATGGAGATACTGACTTACTTAGATTAATAATGTAAAAGCACCTGAGTAAGCCCCCACACTAATTGTAGTGGGATTGTGATTGAGAAGTAATTAACACAGTCTTTATTTAACAGTTGTTGTGTATGTATGGAATTAACAGTGGCTTTGAAGAGATATGATCTCTTTTGTGGCATCATTTAAATTTTGTCAAAAATAAAACACTTGGAATCTTATCTATATGTCTACAGTTAAGTGTAGCTACCACTCCTCAACAATAAAGAGACCACACTTGGCAACAAATGGAGACCTTCACAGAAAACCACAACTGGACACAGTGGACACATCAAGACAGGAATCCAGCCCCAACTACTTTCAGATATCCGAGACCTCTATCTTTTATTCTTGATCAATCTGCATAAAACATAATGGATTTTTTATATTTTTGAAAAAAATATGACTGTTTTCTATATCCTATTTTTTTAACCTTTATACCATCTCTAGTATTTCACTCATGAAATATATTAAGATAATGAATATTAAGGTAATGTGAAATTTGTATTGAGGCAAGCAAGTAAGGAAAGATAGAACGAGAGAGCAAAGACAAAGAAAGTAAGAGGAGAGGAAGGGAAGAGAGGGAGTACAAGACCCAGGGGAAGAGAGAGAGAGAGAGAGAGAGAGAGAGAGAGAGAGAGAGAGAGAGAGAGAGTTCAAGGCTTGTCCTTGAATAGCCCTGACTTTCTATCTCACTATCGATTTTTTTCAGGAAGCACTCCTAACCATTCTGATGTCATCCACTATTAGGCTCCCATTAAAAGCTAAGTAAACGACCCACCTCATCTTAGACATTCAGCCTGATAAAAAAAAAAGAATATTCTTTATATGAAGTATATGGACACCTATTTCATTAAAAGATAAAGATAACAACCTGATACATTTAAACATTGTATTTTGAACTATTTTCTTAGGTGCTAAAATTTATAGTAATATAATTTAGATTAATGCCAACTAAATATCAACAGCATAAATATTTTAGCTTACTATCAATCATCACAAATTATACAATTTTGTTTGTTTTATGTAGGTATATAATTCACACACTGTGTATTTAAATTCATATTCTGAATAAAATAATATGCCAAGGAAAACATACATTTAAACTATAATTTACAACTGCTCATAGACTAATCTTTCCATTGCTCACATTTCTTCTGCTGATTTTTGTTATTATCCACCATGTTTTCAGTCAGGTTGGTACTCTTCTTAAATTCTGCTAATGGCAATATTTACTCTTCTGTTTTTATGTATCTGAAGTTAAGTAGATGCTGAAAATAAATCTGGGACACCATACATATATCTATTTCTACAGTTTCATTTTTTTATTGTTGTAATTACCTTGATGAGAATATTTGATTTTTTTCTTAGCTTTCTAAATTTAGTTTTGATTGGTTAGAATTATAGGTTGACAGTTTTCAACATACTAAATATGAGATCCCAATGTTTTCTGATCACTGTGGTTATTCACACTTGTGAAATAGTAATTATGTTGAGTGCCTCCTTCATGTAAAACATCAGGTTTGTTTCTTTTTGTTTTTAATATGTCATCTGAATATCATGTATGCATTTGTATTTATATTTTCCTTTGGGACCACTGAAATCTGTTTGTTAGGTTGGTGGACAACTATATTATGAATGTACAGAGTCTTCTTTAAATCTCTAAAAGCAGAAACAATCTAACTTTTCCCAACCAGCTGTATGCAGTTTACTACACATAAACAGTGTTTTTTTTGCAACATTTAAAGAGGAAACCTATGATTCTATTCTGGCATACATTATTGAGCTTGTGTAGACTCTTAAGGTCAAGCAGAAGTAAGAACATAGAGTTTTGCTTAGGTCTCTTCAAAGCACACATATAAACTTGCCCTCATATGGCCCTAACAGACACCAAGAAATATGTCAATGCTTTTCACAATTAGTATATACTACTCATTCTCCAGCCTTACCTTACAACCTTTCTTGTTAGGGTATACTTTGTCCCACATACTTAGTGTTGCCTCAAGGAAGTCTAAATCTTAAAACCTCTGCTTGTAAATGACTTCAGTGGATATCCCCATTCACCAGATTCTACCGTTGACATTAGGAAGGTTTGGAGTTGGTAAAACAAATACACACCTTTGGAGGAGTTCTACAGGGACTCACTGTAAAATCTATACAATGCTTACTCTTTTTTCTATGTAAGTGTGTGTGTATGTATGTATGTTTGTGTGTGTGCATCTACCTGTTGTCTGCATGTGTTCACTGCAAGTACAAGTACCTTTGTCTGCACTGTGGAAGATCCATTTGGTGTCATCTTCCTCTACCTATCCACACCTTACTTTTTTGAGTCTGGGAGTCACACTGAATCTAGACTGCAATGACAGGGGCTACTGAACCCCTGTAAGTTGTCCTTTTCCTACCTCACAGCACATGGCTTTCAGATGCCCTGCTTTTACCTCTCACAGCAAGGATTTTATTCACATAGCCATGCCTTCATCCCACTTACTAATTTGGAATAGTATGTTTTTCTTTCAGGAAGGAAGGCTATTATTTTTATTGGTAACATTTAGCTGGAATGTGAGCAACAAGACTACACACTATATCATGTCACTTTAAAGCATATTTTAATCAATAAGTTTCAACTATCCCCTCCTTAATTAAGTATATCCTGGATTGCTACAACTATGGAATATCTGAAGTTCTGAAAATACTAATTCACTAATTTCACTGCAAATATAATTTCGCTAATTTTTCTAATTTTCTTTCTTTTCTTATAACTCACTAGCAAACTATCCAGGCCCACTTTCTCACTTCCTTTTATGCTTTTAAAAAATAAGGAGGGACTGGGAGATATGGCTCAGGAGTTAACAACACTTGTTGTTCATACAGAAGACCTGGGTTGAGTTCCCAGCACCAACATGGCAGCTCACATCTGTCCCAGTTCCAAAGTATTCATCACCCTATTCTGGCCTTCACAGGTACAAGACATGCATGTGCTCCACATACAGACAAAAGACCAAACACTCAAACACCCATAACTGACTAACTAAATAAATAGATATGGACAATTCAAATGAATTAATGAATAAATATGATGGAGGCAATAAAATACAAAACTCTACAAGGGCAGATTCTGAAATGATAACACTACAAACTTGTGGTAATTGATAGACAAAAAAACATTAATTTTCATTTTTTTTTCTTGTGGTAAATCTACATTACATTTTGTTTGCTTCCTGTGGGCTTTTGTTTTACTTATTTATTTTTTATTTAGAATAAATAAAAGGGACATATGATAACATCTTTCATTTTCAAATAAGAATGATTTCTCACAATTAGTGGGTATGTTAATGTTCACTGAGCAGTTAAGTAAAAAGAGATCCCCCTTGACAGTGCCCCTTACCAGCAGGAAGTAGTTTGGAAAGAACTATGCCCAAATTCCCAAATATTGTCTATGAATGTTTGTTTTCATTTAAATGGACTTGGTTATAAAAATAAATAAATAAATAATTTTTAAAAAAAAGTAAAAAGAGATCCAGGGAATGGGATAGAGAGAAATATAGGTCATAGGTGATATAAATTGGGAAATGGGAAAAACTAAAGGGGGCTTTAAATTGGGGAATAGGGAAAAAAGTCAAAATAGATAAAGGAGAAAGAAGTACAATTACTCTACAGATGTTAGATAAAGCCTCAAGAAATCAATTCATTTTATCTAAAATTATGTATAATATAATAACAATTTGTATATATGTCTGTACATACATACACACACACACATACACACACACACACACACACACACACACACACACACCATAAGACCTACCAATGCTTCACAGAAAAGCCTTAGATAACAAAACTAGTATCAAGTATGAGAAACATTCCTTCAAATTGTAGGTTAGAGTAGGTCAATTAACTCACAAAACACTAAAGCTGCTTCATTTGGTTGCCTGTCATAGACTGTCAGCTTGTAAGCCTCTATCACTGAAGACTCTACATACTTCTGACAAAGAACTCTGAAGATTGGCTCTAATCTGAGAGCCTTCTCCCTGTCTGACAAAAAACTCTGAAGATTGGCTCTAATCTGAGAGCCTTCTCCCTGAAGACTAGCTTCCAAAGTAGTATATGAGCTGCCAAGGGAGGGAAGACTACAACAGTCTTATCCTGCTAAAACAATAAGCAACTATAACAATGACCAGCATAATAATCTATCCCTAAGGGCGCAATAGTGGCTATCATATATTAATGGTAACTGACTGTTGTCATTTAGAATGAAGGCTTGCTCAACAGAAAGAATGTCATTCTGTTGCTAGAAATTTAACCAATTACCAGGAGATACTACAGTAGTGGGTTTTAGAGGAAAATGTACTACCACGACTTCACTGGAGCAGTGCAATTCCTAACAGCAATCCACAACATCTGCTTATACTCACAGGTAAGTGTATCTCTCACCCCATATCAATGGAGACTATTAAAGGGTCATACTGCAAAGATCAATTGATTGTAGGAAGCCCAGGCTCGGTGAATACTTCTACAAGAAAACTCCCATTTCTAAGGTTTAGCATAACATCAAAGAGGAGGA